GGTTTAAGGTGGTTGTAGGTGGTTTCAGGTGGTTGTAGGTGGTTTCAGGTGGTTGTAGGTGGTTTAAGGTGGTTGTAGATGTTTTAAGGTGGTTGTAGGTGGTTTCAGGTGGCTGTAGATGGTTTAAGGTGGTTGTAGGTGGATTCAGGTGGTTGTAGATGGTTTCAGGTGGTTGTAGGTGGTTTCAGGTGGTTGTAGATGTTTTAAGGTGGTTATAGATGGTTTCAGGTGATTGTAGGTGGATTCAGGTGGTTGTAGGTGGTTGTAGATGATTGTAGGTGGTTTCCGGTTGTTCGTAGATGGTTTAAGGTGGTTGTAGATGTTTTAAGGTGGTTATAGGCGGTTTCAGGTGGTTGTAGGTGGTTTCAGGTGGTTGTAGGTGAATTCAGGTGGTTTGAAATGGTTTAAGGTGGTTGTAGGTGGTTTCAGGTGGTTGTAGGTGGTTTCAGGTGGTTGTAGATGGTTTCAGGTGGTTGTAGGTGGTTTCAGGTGATTGTGGATGGTTTAAGGTGGTTTTAGGTGGTTTCAGGTGGTTGTAGATGGTTTCAGATGGTTGTAGATGGCTTAAGGTGTTTGTAGGTGGTTTAAGGTTGTTGTAGATGTTTTAAGGTGGTTGTAGGTGGTTTCAGGTGGCTGTAGATGGTTTAAGGTGGTTGTAGGTGGATTCAGGTGGTTGTAGATGGTTTAAGGTGGTTGCAAGTGGCTGTAGATGGTTTAAGGTGGTTGCAGGTGGCTGTAGATGGTTTAAGGTGGTTGTAGGTGGTTTCAGATGGTTGTAGATGGTTTCAGGTGGTTGTAGATGTTTTAAGGTGGTTATAGGTGGTTGTAGATGGTTTAAGGTAGTTGTAGGTGGTTGTTGATGGTTTCAGGTGGTTGTAGATGTTTTAATGTGGTTATAGGTGGTTTTAAGGTGGTTGTAGGTGGTTTTAAGTGGTTGCAGGTGAATTCAGGTGCTTGTAGGTGGATTCAGGTGGTTCTAGATTGTTTAAGGTGGTTGTAGGTGGTTTCAGGTGGTTGTAGTTGGTTTCAGGTGGTTGTAGATGGTTTAAGTTGGTTGTAGATGGCTTTAGGTGGTTGTAGGTGGTTTCAGGTGGTTGCAGGTGGTTGTACATGGTTTCAGGTGGTTGTAGATGGTTTCAGGTGATTGTAGGTGGATTCAGGTGGTTGTTTATGGTTTAAGGTGGTTGTAGATGGTTTCAGGTGGTTGTATATGGTTTAAGGTGGTTGTAGATGGTTTCAGGTGGTTGTAGGTGGATTCAGGTGGTTTCAGGTGG